CGGCAAATTCAAACAAATATGTTACCTCCTTTAGTCCAGACAAATTATAAAATTTGTTTGCCACCAAAAATGAGATATTTTAACCAAATAATGCTTTAAATATACTTTATTTTTTATTTTTACACACAACAGGCCGTTAAGGCCTAGGGCATTTTTTTAAACACAATCCTAATATTAACTAATTACAATTATTTTAAACAAAACTAACTTAAATATGTATATACAACATTCTTAACTACTCTGAAGGACCTGGTGGACAATATTTCTCCATTCGCTTCTATTTTGTGCTTTTCTTTTGCAGTCCCTTACCTTCACGTGTTTAAGGTCTTCCTCCACTTTACTAATCCACCTCGTTCTGGGTCTACCTCTTCTTTTGGGGCCAATTAATTTTCTGGTTATTACTAGTTAGGGTATTCTGTTTGCTTATATTCTTTCCACTTGTCCCAACCAACTGATTCTTTGTGACTTTACGAACTTGGTAATGGTAGGTTCTTTGTATAAAGCCATTAATTCATTGATGGTTCTTCTCTCCCAACCATCATCTGTCTTCCGTCCTCCGAATATGCGTCTCAGTATTTTCCTTTCCCATCTTTCCATAGTATCCTCTTCCTTCTTATTTAATATCCATATCTCACCGGCGTATGTTACTGTGGGTCGAATTACTGTTTTATATATTCTGAGTTTACCTTGTCTAGAAACGTATTTTGAGTTCAGTAGGGCTCTTAAACTACCTAATTTTTTATTCCCTTTTGCTATTCTGGCTTCCAGCTCCCATTTCTCTTTTCCATTTTTATCGAAAACTACACCTAAGTATTCAAATTTGTCCACCCTTTTAAAACTATAGCTTTTACCACTTACAGACCTCACACTAAAGTCTTCTTTTTTCCTTCTGTTCCTCCCATGATCATATATTTGATTTTGTGTTCATTTAGTTTCAATCCGAATTTTCGATGATTTTCTTCTTCTCGGTTCTTTCTCGGTTTTTGCTAGAATCGTTAAATCGTCAGCAAATGCCAAGCACTGGTGCTCATTTGTCATTATTATTTCTTCCACCTTCATGTTGCTTTTTCTGATTACAGGTTCTAACACTAAGTTGAATAATGTAGTGGATAAACGATCTCCCTGTCTCAAGCCTTTTGCAACCGTAAATTGATCTGATATGTGACCCTGCCACGTAATTTCACACTTAGAGTTATTGAATGTCATTTTTACTAGCCGGATCAGTTTCTTTGGTATACCCAAATGTTCCATTGCTCGATACATTTTGACTCTATCGACTCTATCATATGCTTGTCTAAAATCCACGAACAAAACATGCAGGGGAACTTTACCTTCATAACAAGTCGTTTGTATCTCCTTTAATGAGAAGATTTGGTGTACAGTAGATCTCTCCATTCTAAAGCCGGCCTGATACTCATGTAGGATTCTTTCCGTGTAGCAATTTAGTTTATTTCTCAATATTCTTGCCAATATTTTGTATACCGTGTCTAGTAAGGCTATACCTCTATAGTTGTCACACTTTAGTTTGTCTCCTTTTTTATGCAGAGGGCATATGCGGGCTTCATACCACTCCGATGGCAATATTTCCTTTTCCGATACTTGCAATAGTAGCTCATATATTTTTCTTTGTAGTTGTTCTCCACCAAACTTGATCATTTCTATGCATATGTCATTTTTACGAGGACTTCTGTTATTTTTTATTTCATGTATTGCTGTCACCATCTCCTCCTCTGTAGGCTGCCTTTCAACTATCGCATCTTTTCCAACCATCCAGTTGTCTACTGCTTCGTGGTCCACCTCACCATTTAATAGTTCTTCAAAATGTTTTTTCCATTTCCTCATTATTTCTGCCGGATCACTAATTAAATTTCCGTCTTTATCTTATATAACTGCAGTGGCTTTGGTAACCTTTTCTCATCTTTTTAACTTCTTGATAGAACGACCTCACCTCTTTGTTTTTAAACTTCTCTTCTATTTCTTTTAATTTCAACTCATCGTGGTATCTATGTTTTCTTCTGCACAGAGTTTTCAATCTTCCTCGAATTATTCATATTCTTATTTTTTACACTCTCTAGTATCTGTTAATATTTGTTGTCTGATATTGTTCTTTTCCTTTGCTGTTGCCTGACACTCTTCGTAAAATCAATCTTTGTTTGTACTTCTCTTGGAGGCGCACTTAACTATTTTCTTGCTAGCTTCTCCTACAGCAGATTTAATTTGTTTCCAGGCTTGATTTGTCTGTAAATTTTGGTCACATTGTTGTAGAATTTTATTTATTTCTTCTTCATATTTATTTTTTATTTCTGCTTCCTTAAGTTTTTCAATATTGTACTTTCTCTTTGTTTTATTATTCGATTTCTTTTTTTCTTCCAGCCTCCTCCCACATGTGACTTTAACGAGGTAATGGTCTGAGTCGATTTCAGCTCCTCTCATACTTCTTACCTTCTGAATGATATTCATATATTTACTTTTCGATCGTAACATGATCTATCTGATTCACCGTCCTTCCATCTGGGGAGACCCACGTACCTTGTATATCTCTTTTCGTTTTAGTTGTGTGCTTCTCACCACCATGTTTTTCTCCATGGCAAATCCAATAAGTCTTTGACCATTATCGTTTGTTACTTATCGTGTACATTATCGTGTTTACTATAGTTACCAGTTACTGCAGTGTACAGAGGTTCTTTTCCCACTTTAGCATTACAATCACCCATTATTATTTTTACATCACGTTTAGGTAGGCGCTCGTATTCATCATTTAGCTGCTCATAGTAAAGATCTTTTATTTCGTCGTCCTTGTCTTCTGACGGTGCATGAATATTGATTATACTCCAATTCCTTTACATCTTACTTTTAATTCGTATAGAACACATCCTATCAGAGATAGGATTAAAAGCTATCAATTTGTCCTTGATACATTCAGCTACTAAAAAACCAGTTCCGAGTATTCTATCTTTACCTCCACTTTTGAAGAGCACCATATCTTCTATATCAGTTATTTCCGATCCTAATTGTTTTGTTTCTTGAAGAGCCATTCAATCTATTTTATACTTCCTTGCCACATTCATTAGTTTTTTTAGCGCACCTTCAGAAAAGGTTCCTCTGACATTCCATGTAGCTAAATGTATCTTGTCTTTCTTCGGCTTTACCTTTGTATTACTGTCTTGTTTTGTTTCGTTTTCATAGTTCGTAATCCTTTTCTTCGCATTGTTCGTCTTCATTTCTTTCCTTTTCATGCTGGTGCTTAGTTTCTTGCTTTGGTCTCTACCACCAACGTTGGTTCATGCCATCCCAGCACCATATTTCCTGATCGGAATATATTTTCTTATATCCTACTTTTACTTTTCTCCCTTCCTTTCTTAGTTCTTGCGCTTTCTGTCTGACATATTTGTACAATTCTATCCTTCTTTGACAGGTCATCATTGATATACACTAGACGTTTTCTTCGGTTTCTTAATTTGCTTTTGTTTCGCATGACTTTTCTTTTGTCCTCTTCCTTTTCAATCTCAACCAGACAGACTTTTTCTCCCACCTTCACAACCTTCTCTATTTGAACATCGACTGCTAATGCTACCTGTATAAAATTTTTTATTTCATGTTTTAGAGTCTCTGGGACATTTGTATCTATGTTTAGGCCTTGTATAACTATATTTTTACTCCTTTCTCCATTTTCCAAACTTTCCGTTCTTCTATTTGAAAAACTACCTTTTTTAGTTTTGTGTTTTCCTCTCTTAATGTTACGTTCTCTTGTCTTAACTGTCTTATTTCTTCTCTATATTCTCTTTGTTCTCTATGAATTTCGCTGAGTTCTCTTGATTGTTCTTCTATCTTTATACTCACTCCTGTCATCATTTCCATAATTTTTTGTACATTTTCTTCCATTTTCTCCTTTTTGTTGATGGGAGATCTCCCTATTTTGCGACTTTTGGTGAAAGCACGTTGTAACTCTTCCTCTTGATCTCCTTTTCTTTTCTTGTCGTTTTCGTCTGTTGTGGTACCGTCGCTTTCGAAATCTAATTTCGAAATTCGAAAACGATATCTGTCCTTATCTTCACTGCTCATTAAAAATATTTTGTTTCACCGCGATAAAGGTCTCCCCCGTATCGTCTCCTCTGAAGCTTAACCCTTCTCAGTGTAACGTTTTAATTTATTTTCTTTATTTATGTTTATATGTAATAATTGTATTGAGCAATATATACTATTTCGAACCTCCCTAGTTACTTCACTTCTCTGTCGACTTGGCAACACCGCTTCCAAATCAATCAAGGTTCAATCAAGTTCGACCCAATATTGGTGACGTTTTTATTGCTTATGTGTTTATTCTTACCTGGTATTTTTGCCAATTTCGAACACACTTTAAATGTTTTGATTAATATTTTTCACTATGCGCTAAGATTACTTACTTAACTTTCTACTTTATACTTTAGATATATTTGATTTACTCTGTACTTCGCGAAAAATCGGGTTTAATACAGGAGCAAATACAATTTAATATTTACACATTTAGCGCTGCGTTGCCAGTGTCGCTTTAAATATATATACTGTACGGAATAATTTTTAATTCCGTTTTGCTAAAGTAGAAAAATTCCACCTAATACCGTCTTCGTGGAAGCATTTACCGTGACGTGAGATTGTTTGAAATGTGAAAGTTTAAATTTAGCGTTTTTTCAAAGTTCAAAATTCAAAAATTGCATACGAAACCGCACTCCTCTCCTTTAAAACGCAAATTGATTTTTGTCGATAGGGCACTCTGATCAAACGAATGTTTTCCGTTCCCTCCCCCTCCGAGAGTAGCAGTGGCAAACTCTATGTATCTTTTTTGAGGTCCCAAAATTAACATTTTCGTAGTCGAAAGTTCTTTAAAAAAAGCTATGTAAATACGTGCTGCCTTTTTCTCCTAAAGGAAAATTGTAACACAAGATTATTAATACGTACATAAATATTTTACTTTAAATGACAATATATCTTTAATAGTTTAATAATTATTACCTTTTTTTCAGTTTTTCGTTAACTTTAATCGACACATTAGATACTCTTGCTATTTTTGGAGATCTCGAAGAATTCGAACACGCTGTCAAATTGATCATCAAAGATGTTAATTTTGATAACGACGTCGTTATTTCAGTTTTTGAAACCAACATTCGAGTTGTCGGGTAAGTAAAACACATTTAAAATAGGTAGATGTAGAGCAGGGGTGCTCAAACGGTCGATCGCGAGTGCTTTTTGGGTAGATCTCGAGAAGAAGAAAAATTTTAATAAGTAGGTAGGTAACTAAACTACTGTCAGCAGAGTTAAACGTTTTTATTAATACTGAACTATACAAATACATAGAATGCTTGACTAAGCATCATTGCAATTCAAAGAAGTGGGGACAACAAAATACTGTCCACACAGCATATTTTATATTTACATATATTAACTAATTATTTTATTAATTCAATAGTTATTATAATTATTAATCAAATTTGGGATGATATTCTATCAACTACAAAAATGTATTACGTAATAATATAACACTGCTTGCGGCAAAAGGTGGCTTTGTCAAAGGAACGCGCGGCACTTGTCAAAGAAAGGCCGTGTTGTTTCTAGACGAGAGACAGTACAGTCTAGTTTCGGGCGGCGCGTTTGACGAGAACATTCGAGACTTTCGTTCACGCCGATATAAATGTTGCGCCTGCAGGAATTGGAGTTATTCTGAATTGTAACTTGATAGCGATCCTACATAGATACAAAGTTTATTATTAAATAGTGGAAAATGAGTGCAGTGAAGAAATCTAAAACGTATCATTTCAATAAGGATTGGGTGGAAGAATTTTTCTTTTCTATGGTGAAGGATAAGTGCATTTGTGTTATTTGTCGTGCGTCAGTTGCAATACCTAAGCGTGGTAACTTGAGAGGCATCATAAAACGGTTCATAAAAACTATGAAAAGGATTTCCCGCCACAGAGTGAATTAAGAAAACGAAAAGTAAGTGATTTGATATCTTGTTTGAAAAAAGAACAATCCATGTTCACAAGACCAGCCAAACAATCAAAAGCTGCTACGATCGCGTCATTTAAAATATCTCATATTTTGGCGAAACACAAGAAACCATTTGAAGATGGATCGGTGGTGAAGGAAGCATTTATTGAAGCGGGTGAGACTTTATTTGGAGATTTTAAAAATAAAACAGAAATCATGTCTGCTATTAGAGAACTTCAGTTATCTCGTCCGACTGTCACAAGGCGTATTGAAGTCATGAGTCAAGACATCGCAGATAAACTAAAACATGATATCATGGAATGTACATACTTTTCTTTACAGTTCGACGAATCCATCGATATGACAGACACTGCCCAGCTGTGTATTTTTATTCGGATGGTATTCAATGACATGTTGGCTAAGGAAGAATTTTTGACAATCATTCCTCTGAAGGGGAAGACCCGTGGCGAAGATATATATGACGTTTTCTTAAATTTTGTAAAAAACTACGAGCTACCAATATATAAATTAATGTGCATTACAACCGATGGACCACCAGCAATGACTGGAAACAAAAACGGTTTTGTGGCATTGTGTCGAGCTAATGAAGAATCCCTTCATTTTTTTCATTCCATCAACATCAACAAGTTTTGTGTTCAAAAGTTTTAAACACGGAGGAAATTTGTGAGAAAATTGTGAATTCCATTCGTGCACGTAGCTTGCAACGGCGGCTCTTTCAGTTGCAGTTGGAAGATAGGGAGTCAGCTGAACACACTGATTTAGTTCTTCACACGGACTTCAGGTGGTTGAATCGCGGAAAATTCCTAGAAAGGTTTCAAGAATTATTGCCCGAAATAACAGCTTTTCTAGACGAAAGAGGTGATAACACTCAGATTTTGAAAAACGAAAAATGGCTAAATGATTTGGCATTTTTGACTGACATCACAATGCACTTAAACACCGTTAACTTGGAGCTTCAAGGTAAAGGAAAAACTATTATTGAGATGATTAGCGCAGTAAACGCATTCAAAAGTAATTTGCAACTTATGATAGATCAACTGAAAAGAAAGGATCTGAAACATTTTCCGTCTTTGAAAGCAGGGATTGATTAGTTGAATTATGATACGTATGAGGCTGAATTATCAAATATTTTGGGACAATTCGAAATGCGTTTTTATGATCGCAGTAAATTGAAAAATATAGCATCATTTATGAGTTATCCTTTTTGCTTCATCATGCTTGCGATTAGCACTCAGTGGTTACGTACCATCTTATGAAAAGTATGCTGAGGACATGCAGTGCCACGCTTCAACATCCAAAGCCACTCCTTAGTTAAGTTTAACACTATATGTAACTCTTTTGTTTTGTAACAACAAATAAACTCGAAATTTTGAATAACTATGAGTTTTTTCATTGATATTGTAGAGAAGAACCTAACTAAACCTAACCCAAACCTTGACTAAAATAATGTACCTATATTGTGCAGAAAGCTAATATCTATATATGCTACGGTACGCCCTACCTAAGTAGGTAGGGTGTATCGTGTATGTACGACAACCCTGCATCACACACACTTGGAGTCTTTTAGAGTCGATCGTAAGTAGTCTAAAAATATTGAGGTAGATCGCCAGCAGTTCAAGTTTGAGCACCCCTGATGTCGATAATATCTAAAAATAAAAATCATCATCAATTTATTTGCTTTTATCCTTCTGGATGATTAGATTTTTTAATTTTTGATAACGTTGAACCTTATATAACTATCTTAACCTATGCTCTCTTATGTTATCATCAATTTATGCCACCCCTAGATTACTCTTCGTTCTTAATGTTAATCTTTCTAAATTTTATCCTTTTTTGTCACTCCATTAATTTATATAAGAAGTCTCATTACATCCCCATGCGTTCTTTCTTTTTAATAACCCAAAGTTCAATTTTACACATCATATCTGGTCTTGTGGCAGTTTTATATAATTTGTTTTTCAGTTTCATTGGAAACAATTTTTATTGTTATGGATGATATTATTAGTTTGGGTAGGAATTTGAAATTTTTTCATTTATAAGTTCCAAGAAGTCTTAAGCAAACTAGTCCTAATGTAGTCCTACTTTTACACGAAATTTATCATAATCATCATCATTGATCATCTCTTTTAATACGTAAAGTGCCATGGGGGATCAACGTGATCCCCCATTCTGCTTAAACATTTTAATGTCTTCTGGCCGTGGGGATCAATGTAAACCGACGGACCAGAAATCACTTAGGGCCCCATCGCATAACACCGATGCGACATTTCAATGTAAACTATATGGAAATCTTTATTATGTAGAGATGTTAAGCAAAATGGGAGATCAGTTGGACATTGTGTAAGTATAAAAAAAATTATAAAGGAAAAAATAAATCTAAAACTAAAATTTGAGCAAAAAAATATTTATTTTAATTCATAAATATGTAAATCAAAAAAACATTGCAAACAAAAGTGTTTTTGTTTGCAAACATACGTTGCATCTAAAATTGGTTTTTGGAGGTCCTATTTTTGGCAACTTGACGCCCTGATTCCTCTGAAATTTTGGCGTAGCATCCACTAAAAAACCTCTTCCTCTGACTATCCTTAAGATCGTGACTTGGTTTCTGGTTGTCCTCGAAATTTGGTAGATCTGCAGATTTTAGAAGACCTTTGATCGCTTCTCGGAATTTTGTAATAGACATTTTGTCATTAGTTATGAGTTGATGGAGCACATAAGCGTTTACAATACAGGAACCAGCTATAAATTCGATAGCCAGTTTCCTATACCATTTTACTCCACGGCGCAAAGAAAAATTGTAAGCTTTCATTTGGTTGGATATGTCGATATAAGCTTTGTGTTTGTTATACTCGATGATGTTATACAACTTCTTGGCTTGTTTTTTTCCCCAGACCTTCTTGCCTGAGTGACCATTTCAGGAACATATTTAGTTGTCAACATAAGGTCGTCTCTCCTGTCTTTCCATTTCTCTATAAATATTCCTGTGTTGCTTTCCTCGGCAATATGTTCGCTGCGTCTTAGTTTTTTCTGAACAAAATTTTTTAAGTTGTTCTTTCTGTTGCTTCGTAGAGTACCCAAAATATATGTATTTTTTTAGAACTTTCAATGCTAATTCAACAGAGGTGTAATAGTTGTCCACGATGATAGTGCGACCTTGGTTTAGTAAATTTTCTGTTAATTTCAAAACAACATTTGATGGTACTGACTGCTCCTGATTTGGTTCTTTTTCCTGCCCACAGTAGATAGAAGCATCATAAAGATATCCGTTTCAAGACAGAGCTTTTTTTATAGCCCTTTTTCTATCCGAATTGTCGAATAAAGGCCTCTCCCATTTCTCGCCATTCATCCCTGTTGTGTGCGAGGCGTTTCCACATTGGTCCTGCGACTCTTTTGATATCGTCGCTCCAGCGCATTTGAGGTCTTCCTCTTGGTCTCTTCGCATCGTACGGTCGCCAGTTTCCGACTTCTTTGTTCCATCTACCAGCTTCGAGACGTTCGTTGTGTCCAGCCCATTTCCATTTTAATTTAGCTGCTTGTTTCGCGGCGTCCTTTATTTTTGTTTTGTTCCGGATTGCTTCGTTCGTTTGCCGATCTATTAGTGAGATACCAAGCATCTGTCGTTCCATGGCTCGCTGAGTTTTTCGAATCTTGTCCATGTTCTTTTTTGTGAATGTTCAGGTTTGAGCTCCGTAAGTGAGAACGGGAAGGATACAAGAATCGAACACTTTGGTTCGAAGGTTTTGGGGTATCTTTTTGCCTTTCAGTATGTATGAGAGTTTCAAATGCGGCCCATCCTATTCTTACTCGTCTGCTTATTTCGGTAGTTTGGTTTTCTTTGTTTACCTTGATATTCTGACCCAGATATATGTATTCTTCTACATGTTCCACTTTTGTTCCTTGGATGGTTATCGTCGGTTGATCATCTTTATTCGACATTAGCTTAGTTTTACTCAGATTCATTTTCAGTCCTTTTTTTATGGATTCCGTATGAAGTTCATCGATCATCGTCTTCAGTTCTTTCCAGCTGTCGGCTATTAGTACTACGTCATCTGCATATCTTATATGGTTTAAATACTTTCCGTTTATCGATTGTCCCTTCGTTTCCCAATTTAGTGATTTAAAGATGTCTTTAAGTGCGACAGTAAATAGCTTTGGAGATATGGTGTCTCCCTGTCTTACTCCTCGGTTGATTTTTATTGGCCTCGTTTTCATTCCGTTATCCATCGTGACTACCATTTCAGCGTGTTGATATATATTATTATTAATATCCTATATCTAGAATCTATTCTGCTGTTGACCAGTGCTTCCTCAATAGCCCATAATTCTATGCTGTCAAAAGCTTTCTCGTAGTCTATAAATGCTAAACAGATTGGTAAATTGTATTCGTTAACTTTTTCTATTAGGACCTTTTAGACAGAGCTTAAAGAGCTTGATTTCAAATTTGTCTTTTTTTCAAATTTTGTTGCTGATTTACTGTTTAAATTTAAGTTTGCTTTTAAAAGGCACGAGCGTTTCATCAATGCAGATAAATTCTCCTGGAACAATTGGCGATTAAAAATTCTTTAACAGTTTCGTAAAAAGGGGTGTTTATTTTATACAGTCTGTCACCATCAGGAAAATTATTATTATCTGCAAAATGCCAATTTTTTAGCATCAACTGAAAACGATTCCTGGGCATTACTGTTCTTATGAAGTTATGATATAACTTATTTGTAGATTAATAGGATGAAATTGATGGCAACTGAACAAGGCCCATCCACAAAATACACTTCACAAACTTTTCCATTTCCGAACAATCCGTGTCATTCCAGCCTTGAATACGTGCTCTTGGTCTTGCAGTTTGGTCCTTTCTTTGTGCAGCATATCTATTTGTCTCTCTAACAAATAACTCAAATATTTCGTCGGTAACCATTAATTTATAAAAATCGTATGGAGTTTTTTCATAAAAATCATAAAGGTTTTCGTGAATTCCAGGATTACTCACTGTGAATTAAAAATTCTTCATGTGCGTACCGGATACTTCAGACCATGAAAATACTTCAGCAGGCTCAGCAGAGAGTTAATTTGTCATTGTAATTCATGTTCTGCTGAATAAGTTGCTCTGTAACATTGTCAATATTATTTCCTGCTTCTGTTACCTGATCTGAATTTTTAGATGTCTGTGGATCTGTGAAAACACCACTCTTCTTGCAGAGGTACTTGGCAAATTTTTTTGGAAGTGTAGTCAAATTTTTTCTCCGGAGATTGGACAATCTTGATTTTTTTCTAGGCGTCTGCGGATCCTCTTCTGAACTGTACATGTCAGAGTCTGAAGGCGCATATTCACTCATATCAGGGGAAAAGTCTTCGTCACTAGCCGAAAGCACCTCTCCCACAATTTTTTCAGTTTATTTTGTTCCTTTTCGTAGCTATCCGCCATTTCTAAGTCGAACACAACATCAACAACACTCACTGACTGCAAAGCGCAAGCAAACTGAAACGCTGACCACTAGTGCCGGTGCCGGCCGATGAGAATCGTAGAGACCGCTTCCTTCAAGGACGAACGACGCACGCGTGCGCTTCCCCACTGGCCATAACGCCAAACACAAGGTTTCGGGCCATGGGGGATCAAGGTATACCGTCACATAAAAATGGCAAAATCGGGCAAAAAATTTCAAATTTAGCAAAAAAACGCCAATGAACCTGTATAATAGCCCAAATATATTCAGAATTTCAAATAAAAAAGTTTGGCCCCATGGTTCCGCAAAAATATAATCCCATGGTGACACTGTACGTGTTAATACTAGTTTCTTCTTGCTACATATCTCTCACAATCTTCACACACTCACTGGCGATTTCTTTTTTATCGAGAATCCACTAATATCTTTTAAAGTTAGGTTTTCTATTTTTAGCGGATTACTGTCAGCACACATTCTATCGGAATATTTGCAACAAAGAGATGGGATAATGCCTTGGTATAAAGGGGAACTCTTAAACATGGCCAAAGATGTTGGATACCGTTTGTTACCAGCTTTTAACACAACTACCGGAATACCTCATTCTAGGGTAAGTAACAAATTACACCTGCAAACTTATCTTATTTTAAATTTATATATTCTGCGTTCATCTAACGAAATGAATTGCTGGAAAAAAACACTTTAGTCTTGGAACTAAAAGGTAAATGATTAATTCCAGGTCAAAGTATGTTCACTTTGCAAGCCAGCACTCAGGTGTTTTGAACAACACAACGGCGACCTTTAGGACGGAAGTCTACAGATCGGTTATTAGAAATGGGGTATAATAAAGTTAGAAATAACAAAGAAAATGAATCCTACTATCTGGAATAAAATGGACAAAATTAAAATAAATAAAAGGAAAAACCTTGTCCACCTTGGTGGCGCCCTAGAAACAATGTCAATTACAATCAGATACTTTTTTACATCTTTATATAATCTTAAATATTAATGACCTGGTAAAAATATCTTATTGATCTTAATATTTAATATTATTTAACCCACATATTACTGACACTATTTTTTTTTAATTGTGTCTTTACTTAAAGGAAATATAAGGAACTGTTTAACGACAAAAAATACTAAAATAATAATTTTCGCATTAGCTCTCAAAATATGTCATGTTCGTTTAAAAGGACAGTAGTAAGAAGCAGTATATATTAGAAAGTAAACTTTATTAATACAAAAATAATTACAAAGTATGGAAATCCTTAACTATTATTTAGGTTGTAATGGTATTGTTATGTGTTTTATTAGGCCTAATTTATTGTCTTTATTCTAATTTATTAAAACTCACGATAATTTATCAAAAGTCTTTATTTTATACTAATTTATTTTACACTTAATAATTACAAATAATTTATTTGCGTTCATACAATTTAACGCGAGATCGCGATCTTCTTTTTGACTGCCGCTCAATGAAAATCTTCCGTTATTTATATGAAATCATGTGTTAAAATGGAACATCGCGGAAGGTTCGATGGCATTCTCGACTAGACAGAGCAGCGACTGGTCTCAAAACTGGTATGTTTTTCATCGGCTCGTTCCCAGAAAGTTCGATTGTTGTTTTAGCGAAGGGGACCCAAAGGATGTCAGGTAGATTTTTGACCTAGAAATTACGAGAATCAATAAAAAAGAATTAGTCATAAAATATTTACAGTTCTATACGCCATAACATTTAAAATCGTAACAGTATTTTACATTTTTCACACAAAAATTGAACCTTGTCCTTGCAAAGTGCGCAACGAGATTGTTTTTCTTGATAAACAATTAAATGGTTCATACCATCATATTTTGAATGTAAGACCGTGTTGGGATTCCGTCTTGTTGGGACGCGTTTGTATCTTTTTTGTAGGTTTCCAGAAGGTTGCAAGCTATTTGCCTTCTAAATTCAAACTGATCAAGGCTTCCTCCGTCTTTTCGGTCCAATTGCCACGCGTTTTGAATAGCCATGTCAATTCCATGTTCAATTGGCGGAAAGTACCATTTTTTCCCTCTTATAGAGATCCAGTAAAGACTAATATTTTGGTCACAGCGGTCTACAACACCCATAAAAGAATTGTATTGCTTTATCGTATTTGGTTTAGAAACAAAAATATGTCTCTTCCCTTATGGAAAAACCGTTTTACTAGGCCATGTGGTATTTCTGAACAAAAGTTAGATGCAATTGTTGCAAGTGTTTTTATCTAATCTGTAATCGTAAGTTCCCCTTTCTTTTTTTTATAGCTGTTGGAGCGAATAGGGGGCATTTTAGGGTTCTATTGTCCCTTATTGTACCTGTACCGAAAATATCTCTAGTTTTTAACTCATTTAATAGGTGCATGGACGAGAAAAAGTTATCAAAAAAAAGGTGGAATCTCGTTTTTGGTCAACCTGATTGAAGCACATGTGCATGAGACAAAACAACCGACGAACCAAGACCCAAGTTTTTGTATGAGGCTGGTATTTGCACTGAGTCGCCTTGATACGGTGTAAACCATACAATATAATCTAGGCGGAGAGTACCCATCCAAAGCTTATAACCAGAACGAATGGGTTTGTTTCGTATGAATTGTTTCATAGGGTGCCTTCCAAAATTTCGTACCATGGCTTCATCTAGACTATGTTCTTGTTCGAAAGGAGCGTGACGCAATAAAAATTTTTATTCAATATAATGGCCGTATTTTAACAAACTTGTCTGCTTTGTCTAAACTGTTATTATCAATTACATTGTAACGAAAATATTTTGCCTACCACAGGGGGCATTAATACGGGAGATAGAAAATTGGGTGAAAAACTATTGGGGGTGGAGATAGGGCAAGCAAAATACTCGCTACTGATGCGAACGGCACTCAGGGTTTCGTAGGAGAGCTGGGGTCGTGGATAAGTAAAAGATTAGAGGGGTTAGAATTGGGCAACTACAAAAAAAAATGAAATAAATGGCTCTTGGGATAAACAAAATAAAAATAAACAAGAAACACCTCAAGGAATTTAATATAGGGCGCCACTTGAGGTGCCTAATTATGCCTATTACAACCACTAGTTGTAACTAGGGAAATAATTAGAAAACAAAATCAAAACATAAAAAACATATCTTTTTCAAATAAGAATCAAAAAAGGTTTGGCTCAAAAAAATAAATATATATATATATATATATATATATATATATATATATATATATATATATAATATATATATATATAGCGAGTGTTTGCAACTTTAATTTTGTCGCTTCTCGCATCCCAATCGCCATAATTTCTTATCGGCCCAGTCTCCTTCTTGAAGACCTCTATTTTCCATTTCTATATGAATATTGGATATCCATTTCTTTCTTGGCCTTCCCCTTTTATTTCTCTGTGTAGGTCTCCAGTTCCAAACCTTTCGTGGTATCCTTTCTTCGTTCATCCGTCTCAGGTGTCCATACCATTTTAATTGTTTTTCGGCTATCGTATCCATTATTGTGTTCTTTACTTTCATTCTCTCTCTTATGTTTTCATTTCTTATGTGGTCAAACAAAGTTAACCCGGAACATCTTCTCCAGTACATCATTTCCGTTGAGAGGAGTTTTTGTGACATATTCTTGTTAAAGACCCACACTTCTGACCCATACGTCAGCACCGGCTGAATCATAGCCTGATATATATTTTTCTTTGTTTTCTTAGTTAAAGTTTTATTCCACAGGATCGGATGTAGTGTTTTTATCATGTTTTTTCCTTTTCCTATTTTTCTTGTTATATCTTTGTCGTCTCTCCCGTCTTCGCTTAGTGTAACTCCGAGATATTCGTACTGATCAACGTTTTTAATTAATCCGCTTTCTGTTTCCATGTCTTGACCGATGCCTCCTATATTCATGTATTGTGTCTTTTCGGTATTAACCTCTAATCCCCATTTTTTGAATTCGTCTATTAGTTTGTTTATCATGTACGTCATATCTTGTAGGTCCTCGGCAAGAACTACCTGGTCATCTGCGAAGAGGATTGTGTATATAGGAGTGTCATTTACCCATATGCCCATTGGGCTGCATTTTCTCATCCAATATTTTAAAGCATTACCAAGATATATTTTAAATAGGGTTGGGGAGAGGCAAGAGCCCTGTTTGACACCCTTTGTTTGGGTGAAACCCTTGGAAATTTGGTTTCCAACCTTAATATAAGCTTGGTTATCTTGATATAGCTTTTTTCACGGCATTTATATATACTGCATTTATACCTGCGTTTTCCAATGTTGTCCATAGTCTCTGCAGTGGTACGGAGTCAAACGCTTTACGGAGATCTATAAAAGTGGCATGAAGTTCTAGTCCTCTTGCTAATCTCTTTTCTATTAGATGTTTGAGAGTAAATACATTGTCGACACAAGATCTCCCTGGTCGGAATCCACTTTGTTCTTCGATCTCTGTGGCTTCTTTTTCTATTCTGGCTTTCAGAACTCTTTCATACAGTTTGCCAGTGGATGACGTAATGCTGATACCTCGGTAATTACTGCAGTCATTCCTGTTTCCCTTTTTGTAGATGGAGTTTATGTACGAGACTTTCCAATCTCTTGGGATACTTTCTCCTTGTAGGCACTTGTTAAACATTTTACAAAGCAATTCTAATGTTATTGCAGTGGCATGTTTGAATAACTCGATAGGTAAATCACCCGGCCCAGGAGCTTTATTATTTTTCATTTTTTGTAATGCGTTTTTTATTTCTTCTACGGTAATCATCGCCACTTCATTTAACCCCGTTTCAACTATATCTATATGTGTGTCTAGAAACTGTGTACGTTGTTCATTTAATAGATTTTCGTAATAATTTTTCCATCTTTCTATGTCTATGGGGTTTATTTTTTTTGTTTCGTTTGTATTTTTTCTAAGACTGTTGATAGTTTTCCAAGCTTGTCTGGACCTAGATCCTCCTACCATTGAGCTTATTTCTGCACACTTGTTGTCCCAGGTTATGTTTTTTGTTTTTTTAATTTCCTTTTTTACTATATATTTGTATCTGTTATAGTTCTTTCGGTCTTCCTCATCTTTTGTCGCTAACCATTTGAGATACAGTTTTTTCTTTTCTTCTACCAGTTCTAATAAACCTTCTGTCCACCAATAATTTCTACGTTTTACTTTTTCTTTCGTACCTAGAGCTTCTAATGCTGCTTCATGAATTTTGATTTTCAAAGTCTCATACATTTCTTCCGCTGTTCCGTTTATTTCTTCGTCTAATTTTTGTGCCAAACGTAGTTTATAGAGAAAACTTGTGGACTCATTTTTTAAGCTGGCTATGTTATAGAGCCGTATGGATTCTTTGTTTGTCTGTTCTTGGATAAAAAAATAAATAAAAAGTTAAAACAACAAAATTTAACATTTATTTATGTGTCACCACAAACAGTTACATGGAGAAATACAAAATTCAAAAACTTACATGTGTCATCCATTAACAATCTCCATTGCTACAAAACTTACAAAACTGCATGGAGGTTAACCTTAAAAAAAAAACAAAAATACTAAAACGAGCTGTCATAAATTAACATCAAATTTCAAAAAAAACTAAACACAAATTGACAGCTTTACTCAAAACCTAAAATTTACAATTTTGAATGTCAACGAAAGCAATTATTATTTTATAAAAAAATGTCTGTCTTTAGTTTAAAATTTGAACAAAATGTTACCTTAATTCACATGACCACACTTAAGTTTCTGAAACCATAACTGGAACCTGGAACTGAGGGCTCCACTCTCTCTGCATCACGAAAACCTCCATCTCCAAACTGCCAAAAGCCTTGGATAAAAGCAGGAACAAAAAAACAAAAACGAGGATGTCCTCCAATCCTCACTCAAAACATTAATAATTGAAGCATTTACTGCCACAAAACCAATAACAAACTGCTACATATTCTTCATGACAAAAGATGAAAACAGAATACTTTACAAATTCGACGTGAATTTGGACATAACGCTGAACCGCTCTTGAAAGCTGCTACAACGAGAGTGACGAAATTATCTATTAAAATTGAACGCATACATACAGACGCTGACATAACAAGACACCACGAAACGACGTACATATCCTTTTGCGACGCATTAAATTGAAAAGAAATTGCCGAAGTAAGATAAATAAACAACTTTAAAATGGTTTATTTCAACTTGGCCGACCTAAGAAAGAAATAAAAAGATATTTGGGTTTAAATACGTACGAAATATTTTTAGATCTATCAAAAATATATAAGGTGATTTTAATATTTCGTATACGAGGGGACTTCAATATACTTCAAAGAATCAATGAAATTGAAAATGCTACAACATGAAGAATTTTCATTATATGGGAAAATCTATCTCTCGATAGAGCTCCAGCAACTTTTTCGTTCTGACTATCATCTCGATTTTCCCAATACATATATCTTTTAGGTAACACCACGTGGCCACTAAAAATAAGCACATCCACAAAACACCTAATTTCATTATCTGTAACATCACTAGTCAAGTTTTTTTGTGCCGCATATGTATTTGTATATGTTGTTATCATATTGAATAGATTGTCGTCAAAAAATAGTCTGAAGAGCTGTAATGGCGTCCGATTTTGTTTAGGTCCGATTTATGGTCTCCAGTAAACATCCTTAGGATGGTGGTACAGATCACCTATAAGCCATTGTGCAGATCTTAGTTTTTCGAGAATAATCGACGATTTTGTTTCTTCTTTGCGTGGTGTGGCAAGAAGTACGTCATCGTCGTCGAAATCTGACTCTTCTGCACTCAGATCTTGATTGTCGAAAATAACCTCCATGACATTTCTCAGCTGGCTTCCCGTTCTGGTCCATCGTTGTGACATCCTCGCCTCCTGAATCGCAATCTGTTATATTATCATATTCATTATCTGGAGGAAAAATAATTATACCATCAGGAGGCGTTGGAATCTCATCTGCCTCAAGTTCCGCAATTAACTCATGGAATTTTAACGGTTTCCTAAAAAAATAACCATTTTGTAGTGCTTATTACTACTGTCCTTTTAAAAGACCAAAACAAAAATGACCGTACACAAGAAAGTAACAAAAAACTCGAAAGCAAATAATTACAAGTAAGTAAAGCAATGACTAGCAAATCATATAAAACACCCACATTCGATTTGTAATTAAAAAAACTTACCTCCAATTAGCAATATCCATGTTTAATTAAAAAACAAAACAATGCTATACCGCTACGTAAACAAACTTTTAAATTGAGCAACTGATGAAATATCTTCATCGATACGTTTGACCGTAAACCCCACAGGCGCCATCTATCAACGGTAAGGTTAAGTTATCAATTTAAGGGAAATAGATCGATTGCCTTTTAAAAGGACAGTAGTAGTATGTGGGTTAAGGAAAAATGAAAATTTAAATTTTACCTGTGTCATTATTATAATATATGATATTATGAGATACGCCCAAACAAAATCCGAAGTGATTTTTTATGTTATTTGTTATTAACAACTGCCGATCCACTTGGAAAAATTAAAAAAAAATACATTTGAACTTAAGCTTTTTTCAGGGGTAAACCACTCGCCTAATAGTAAGTTTAGAGTCAAGTATAAATGACTTTTCATATATCTCTGAGTTCTTTAATACTGTTTATCATTTAGATATCTATTTTTTAGGTAAATATGAAATACGGATTGAAAAGTGATCGATTGGAATCCGCTAGGGAAACATGCACTGCTTGCGCGGGATCCATGATATTGGAAATGGCAGCACTTTCACGGTTGACCGGAGAACCCATATTCGAAATGAAAGCCCAAAAAGCTATGGATGAGTTGTGGAAGATGCGCCATCGTAGCTCTGATCTCATGGGTAAGCTCAATACGTAATCATAATAAATTAATTAAACAAGCTGCGAGTGTTTGTGGGGTAGATAAGAGATGCATGCATTGGTTGAGTTTTTAGCTGAACTAGTCTTTGACTCGAATCACTGTATTAAAAAATAATTTAAAAATTACTAAAACTGGATCTTTTTCGGTCCTAGGCTTCATCGCAATTTTGTTTAGTAGTTCTCGTGAAGAGCCCTACAGATCATAATTCTCTCTAAAGTTCTCTGAACACAATACTAATATCTTGTCTATAATCTCGTCTAATAATTATCTGCTACTCAATTTGAGTAGCTAATTTATATATATATATATATATATATATATATATATATATATATATATATATATATATATATATATATATATATATATCATCATCAGTGGTGCTACAGTTCTAGTTGAGCCTTGACCTTCCCCAGTCTATTTCGCCAGTCGTTTCTGTTCATCGCCAACCGTTGCCAATTTGCCGCGCCGATCTTCCTTGCGTCCTCGTCCACACCGTCCCTCCATCTCAGTCGTGGTCTGCCTCTACTCCTATTTCCCACTGGGACCGATAATAGAGTTCGTCTGGGTGGGTAATTTTCATTTGCTCTTGACACATATCCAGCCCATCTAAGCCTACCTATTTTTATGAAGGATATTACATCTCTACCATTTACTATTTTTTTATACTTCTCGTACAATTCGAAATTATATCGCCTTCTCCAAATACCATTCTCACAGAATGCGCCCATTATTCTTCTTAGTATCTTCCTTTCGAAGACGAGCAGAAGATTTGCGTCTGTTTTGGAGATGGTCCATGTTTCTGACCCATATGTCTGACCCATATGACCCATATATATATATATATATATATATATATATATATATATATAATATATATTATATATGTTTGTTTTGAGGTTTCCGCGGGAGCTATATGTGCTGTCACTATTTTTCCGGGTTTGACTCCGCGTTGTAAAGTGCTGGTTTTCTCGAAAACCATTGTTTTGGCGACGTTTCGGCAAGGTCTCACTTGCCATTCTCAAGCCTGGTGGATCTACTTCTCGTCGTTACTCGATTAGTACTGGATCGACGAGACTAGTACCAGTACTAATCGAGTAACGACGAGAAGTAGATCCACCAGGCTTGAGAATGGCAAGTGAGACCTTGCCGAAACGTCGCCAAAACAATGGTTTTCGAGAAAACCAGCACTTTACAACGCGGAGTCAAACCCGGAAAAATAGTGACAGCATATATATATATATATATTATATATATATATATATATATATATATATATATATATATATATATATTAGCTATATATATATATATATATATATATATATATATATATATATATATATATATATATAGCTAAAATCCGTACGAAGATGACAAGAATAAACTATATAGAATGACAAGTTTCGATGGTTGAAGTAGATATCAAATCTTATAGATACTTCACAACTACAAAAATTATTGAATTGTCAGAAAAGTAGAACTGATGACTGTAATTACCAGGAACAACTTGGCGATAGTAATATTAAGAAATATGGACGAAATTTCTGTTGAGAAAAGTCTGTTGTATCTGTAATAAGAATAACAAGCGAAGAAAGTTTGACACGCTAAAATTTTGACAAAGAAGCTCAGATACACATCCAGAAAAAAGTGAAAAGACGTGATGGATAATATAGAGACGATTCAGAAACCCAAACGAACCAGAATAATGGGGGATGAGATGGCGATCAGACAACTTGATAAGAAGATACAATAACTTTAGTATTGTAACGTAAATTAAACTTAAAAGGGTAGAAAGATGTTGTGTGCTACTATGGGTAACATAAAAACCCAAGGGGAAGTTTTGCTTGAAATTTAAGTCTAATTAAGAATTTCCAAAAAGAACTGAGAAAGTCCCAGTACCTTTTTTTTGAAATGAGGTGGACAGTTTCGAAACCGACTAGGGAAAGTGTCCCTAGTACTGTTGGATTCAACCAGGAGGCAGGACCACACAATAACGGCACAGAGTTCACACGGAATCCTGGCCACCATCGTGCGCCCCTGTCAGGTCGCCTACCAACTAAAAACCCCCTCTTCGATCCTGAATATCCACGGACGAGTTCATTAAAGAACGAAACGTGGGGATATCCTGCGCAGTCTAGAAGAGTGTTCTTGTAGAAGGTCTTGGGGTTTGTCCTACGATGCTTACCTAATAACGGCATGCACCTAGGGGAGGGTCTGGTTCCTTTTCGGAAGGAAAAGGGAATAGTGATTCGGAAGACTGATGTCATTATAGAATGAAGAAGAATAGAAAGACGAAGAAGAACAAAGAGAAAAGTTTACACCCTTAGTGTCTCTGGTTGTCTGTCTATATGGAAGGTGGTTCCTATCGGAACAAGATTAGGACAGAATAGTTTTTTGCTGTAGTTTCCGCACTGAAAAGAATTCTTGTCACTGAGTAACAAGAATGGGGGGAAAGCACGTTAAATATATATATATATATATTATATAATATATATATATATATATATATATATATATCCGGTGTACACTTCCCGTCATATAAAACTGGTACACTTTTTTTCCCAATATAAACCTGTGTTCAGAAATCAATTCGTTGTTGCCATTACAGATAACGGAATTGCACTAAATCTAAAATGTAGTCGTTCAAAAATGTATAAAATTTTTAGATAGGTATTATTTTTATCATTACCAAAAAAAAACAGAATCTAAGAAATTAAATAAGCAGAGATAGGGTTGATAGGTTGAATTATTATCCAAAATGTTTGAAGGATCTTTAAACCCAGGGTATTAGCACAGGGAACATTCAAATGCATCTACTGTAATTTTATACTTCAATTACCTACCGAACTCGAACTGTATTCTGTGTCAATCAGTTTTGTAACAGACAAACTACCAAGATTAATTTATTATTTATTACAAGAATGATAAAAAAATGTGAAAAACTAACATTATACTTTATCCAACGTATTATATATTAGAAAATATTCGGTGCGAAAAATTACTTTTCGAAACGTAACTGTTACAATTGAGACAATACTTAATTGAGATAATGGAAAATTACAAAATTAATATGAGAATTTGTTAGGATGCATGTTTAAACAAATTTAATGTGACTGACTGATCGAGAATGCTCGATAATGTTTTAATTTTTTAGTATACTCAAAACTGGTGGTGGTCACACAGCCTTGCTTTTAGCTGATTTTATATAATATTTTCGTTGAACTGGCAACGGCGCCCTAGAAATCAGAATGACACATGTGGCAAGATCAATGTACACAACTTAAAAAATACGATTTTTGATTATAAGACTTGTACCAGTTTTTTATGACGGGAACGGTACCTGCTCTGGGTATATTTAGGCAAAGTAGAAGAAAAGTAGGAAAAAGGTTGTTTGTAGGTAACAGGTGTACCTGCTATAGGTATATTCAAAGTATAAAAAGAGTGAGATAAAGATTAAATTATTTATAAGTATCTCCTTGTGTGGTGCGGGAGAAACGTCCCTCATTCGGCTTGTTCAGCCCTTTCAAGTATGGTCTTTCTTTTTATGATCTCCGTTGTGTGGTTTATTATGATTTCGAAGTTCTCCTTGTTGATCATAGCTAACTGTATAATGTTGGGCGTTGTCAATCCTATGCTGTTACGCCGCCTATTTTGTTCGAGGGCGAAAACATTACACCAGAAGATGCAATGCTCAGCGTCGTCATTTTCGCCGCATATAGAGCATATATCATCGTTGGTTTCCTTGATAGCGTATGTGTAAGACCTGAAAGATCCATTACCGGTCAGAAATTGTGTAAAATAATAATTCACTCGTTTAAACTTACAGCTGTACCAGGCCACCACATCAGGGATTAGCGTTTTGGTCCATTGAGCTTTCGTAGTTCGTGTCTCCCATTCCCTCTGTCATTCTGCTAGTAGTTGCTCTCGTACTGCCGTTTTTACCTGGGGTAAGTGTTTACCGTTTGGTACGCACTCGTAACTTTGAGAAAGGGTTCCATATAGGAGGGTCGATTGTACAATGTGTAGGTACAATCTTCTCTTGTTGCTGCTAGGCCCACCCATATTGGGTGCTATTCTCTGGATGGCTGCTGTCTGTTCGTCCGCCTTCTTAACCACCCTTGAAAGATGTTTTGTAAAGCGTAGGTCTCTGTCTAAATCAATGCCTAGATATTTAGCACAGATTTAACCAGAACAAGGTCCGCTGCGGCGCTATCGCAAAGTGACGTGAATTGGTTCATCGAGATCGAACGTGAATTGGTTCATCGAATGGATCGCTCCGTTAATGACCTCATCGTTCGCTTTTCTTAACTCCTCGGCGAAGGATGGTCGGTCCGTGGGCGGCCTTATTTTCTGGTTTGAGGGTCCTTGTTCTTGGTTTCTTTCCATTGTTAAAGCCTCCGTTTTGGGGAAGGTTGGTACACCTGTGAGGGACAGGTGCCTCGATGTTCCGTGGGTGCTCAGCCTATCTAGCTCTCTGAAGAGTCTCCCGAAAGGCTGCGCTACGCGAAACGCCAGATCCCCGACCTCTTCAAGATGTCAACCGGGAATAATTTTTAAAAATTCCTATCTTCGATGCTACTCTCCTAACCTTGAATCTCAAGTCGCATCCCCGCTCACATGAATTCTACCTAGCGGGATGATTGTATTTCGCTTAGAGGCATTTGGCAATGTAAACAACTATTATTAGGCTTATTCTCGTTAAAATTCTAAAACAACGCAAATGATTAAGTGCTTATAGCAACTTATGCGATTTACAGCGTTTACAGAATTTACAGATTTAAAAAGGACGCCGTTTGCCCAGGGCAAATTGGTTGTGTAAATAAACAATTGAATGTTTATTCTATTCGAAGAGACACTAAAGTGTTTTTTCAAAGATTTTGTAGAATATTATAAAATTTTATACAGAGTAGAAGAAAAATTCTCTACCGTGAAGCTAACGAAGTACCCCTGACCTGAGATGAACTATACTTGATTTCATCAAACAGATCGGCCTGTGGCGATTACTGATACATTGATTCTTGGGATTATATTTCCTATTTTGAAATTATTTCTGCCCGGTGTTTTGCCAGTGACTCCGGCAGACATTACCATGTTTTATATGGATATGGTAAACTCAGTGTATCATATATCTGGTAACCTGTTTCTTACGTAACTTATTCTTATTTTGCAGGTACCGTTTTGAACGTCCATTCCGGCGACTGGGTTCGCAGAGATTCTGGTGTTGGAGCTGGTATAGATTCCTACTACGAATACTGCTTAAAGGCGTATATACTCTTAGGAGATAACAAATACCTTAATAGATTCAACAGGCATTATAATGCTGTCATGAAGTATATTTCTCAGGGACCAATGCTGTTGGATGTACATATGCACAGGTACGTGGAAATTTTATAAACTTTTTTCTTTGACAACCTTTCTTAGTTAGGTATAACTTTTTATTTCTTCTAGACCTCATACGAATTCCCGAAACTACATGGACGCGTTACTGGCGTTTTGGCCAGGTCTTCAAGTCCTTAAAGGAGACATTAAGCCTGCCGTGGAAACCCACGAAATGCTGTACCAAGTGATGCAGCGTCATAAGTTCATTCCAGAAGCTTTCACTACCGATTTCCAAGTCCATTGGGGCAACCATCCTCTCCGACCTGAGTTTTTAGAGTCTACGTATTTTCTTTACAGCGCCACTGGGGATCCATACTATTTAGAGGTAAGATTATTTAAGAAAAACTTTTATTTACTAAAATAGTGCTTATCTATAAATAGCAGCATTGAAATTCACAATTTTACACTAATTATTTTCTTATTTTAGTTCATTTTGCAGGACTTTCATATGAAATTTTTGAAAATATTTAAAATATGCAACATACACTCAAGTGAGGTTTGATTTTTAACGACTTTGTTTATGAATTTTACTACATTACTGACAAATTTATATACATTACTTATATATGTTTCAAAAGTAACCAAAAGGGTTTGAACGTGGTGTTATTTTATTTGCTTCAAAATTGATTTTTTTAAAGAAGTGTCGGAGTGACTAATCATCCAAAACCAGGAAGGCTCATACATCTTTAAATGCCGTCTCCCAATCGGAGGTTGGATATCATCATCACTATATTTACTTTATCTACTGCTGCTCTAAAAAGATGCTCTATAGATCTGCATTTAAACCAGTTCCTTAAAATCTTCAACCCTGACACTATCCTTCTTCCTATACTCCTTCCTCCTCTTATCTTTCCCTGTATTATCAGCCTTAGTAGTTCATATCGCTGTCCCCTCATTACGTGTCCCAGATATTTTAACTTTCTTATTTTTATTGGGTTTAATATTTCACATTCTTTGCCCATTTCTCGCAACACTTCCGTGTTAGTTTTCTTCTGTGTCCATGCTATTCTAAGCATCCTCCTGTAACACCACATTTCAAAGGACTGTAACTTATTTATGTGTTCTTGCTTTAATGTCCAGCTTGAAAGTCCATATTGTAGTATCGAAAACACGTAGCATCTCAGTTCTAATCTAAGCTCTTTGTTGCAGACAATAGGGAACTTGCACATTTTTTTTTATTATATAATAACGTTCAGTTTCATTTAAAAATAAGATTTCCAAAATTTCACGCCTCAAAAACTCATAATGACCTAGCAATACAAATTTAAAATCTTCCGTGTATAAAAATCATTTCAAACGATCGAAAAAGCGCGCGAACCCTTGTGACGTCACTTGGTGGTATTGTCTGTATGTCAGGTCTCCTGTCTTGTATAAAAGTATAAACTATTTTGTTTATATTGGTGTTTGATACAGTTTTTGAATAGAGAGTGTTGAATTGTGTGTGTTTTTACTATGGAAAGTAAAAGTAAATACTACAAGTGTTGTTTAGTACCATTGTGTAAAAGTACAACCATTAAAACCCCCAACAAAATATTTATTAGATTACCAGTACAGTACAGATCATGTTATTTCTTTTTACTTGAACCCATCCTACAGCTGCATCTCCATATGATTCTCTGCCAGATCTAAATGCAAACGATGAATAAGTTAATTTGATTAAATTTCAGTACAATAGCATAAACATATAATATTGACACTACTTAATATAAAGTACTAAGTTTTATCATTAAATACTTATTATGAGAATAATAATCACAATAAAATTAATGTAATAGGAGTATATGTACTTACTTATCTGCTTTAACTCCCCGAACTTCTCCCAGGGAAAAATTTTCACCGTTTTGAAAATATGTGGCTACCATAAACATATTTACAATGGGCAAGCTATCAGACTGGCCTTTGGAAAAACCCTCTTCGGCGATTTTAAAAAATATATCTGAACAAAAACACTCAAATATTATTAAATATATAGTTCACAGCAACTATCTAAAGATTTATAAAACTGAAATACACCATAAAATTACTATAACAAGTAAACGAATGTCAAACGTAATGAATTAATAGTGCCAATCTTTGAACATTCTGACTATATGACGTCACGACCAATGAGGACGCGTTTTGGACTGGCTGCTATAATTTGAATTTTCTTTCGATTTTAATCGTTTTTAGGGGCCAAACTAAAGACAAAAACAACTTATTTTTGTTTGATATATATTTAAAATTATGTTTTGTTATGATTTAAGGCATTTTTTTCGAATTTAAAATTTTATGCAAGTTCCCTATTGTTTTCATTTGTATAAACGCATTTCTTGCTATTTATATCTTGGCTCTTATTTCGGTTGTTAGATCATTATTGTCTGAAATCCAGGTTCCTAGGTATTTGTATTTATCAACCCTTTCTATCGGTACATTTCCCAAATGTATGTTTGTTGGTATATTTGTTTTCTTTGTTATCATGTATTTGTTCTTTTTTATATTCATTTTTAATCCATATTTTTTCTTTAGCAGTAATTGGAGTTGTTCAGCAGAGCTTGCCGTAATCACGGTGTCATCTGAATATCTTATATTGTTAATAGATCTTTCGTTAATTATTATTTCTTCACTTTGAGGTAGTAATGCTTCTTCAAAAATGGCTTCACTATATACATTAAATAGTAATGGGGACATAATACATCCCTGCCTAACTCCTCTCCTGATTTCAATTTCTGGACTGGGTTCGTTATCTATTACGATTAGTGATCTTTGATTCTAATATGGTTTGTTATTATTCGTAAGTCCTTATGGTCTATGTTTTTTGTCTTTAGAATTTGGACTAATTTTTCATGTCTTACTTTGTCAAATGCTTTTTCAAAATCAACGTAACAAACATGCACATCAACATTCATATCCATGCATCTTTGAGCTAACACATTAAAAGCAAATAACGCTTCTCTGGTTCCTAGTCCGTTTCTGAACCCAAACTGACTATCATCTATTCCTTCTTCCAGTTTTTTATTTATACGACCATGTATTATTTTCAAGAATAATTTGAGAATGTGACTTATTAGTGATATTATTCTGTATTCACTGCAATATTTATCGTTTGTCTTTTTAGGGATAGCACAAAAAGTGGAGAGTAACCATTGTTTCGGTATGTGTCCTGTTTGGTATACTGTGTTAAATAAGTCTACTATAATGTCTAAGGTTTCATCATTTATGCATTTTAAGGTTTCTATGGGGATTTGGTCTGGAATTACTGCTTTACCATTTTTGCTGTTTTTTAATGCCATTTTAATTTCCTCTTTTAAAATTATTAAAACGATATCCTCTTCTACTTATATCTCCATCTGCTCTGTTCTATTGTCTTTGAACAGTTCATTGATGTATTCTGTCCATCTCTTTAATTTGTTGTTAGTATTCAACACAAGTTTCCCATTTGCATCTTTCAGTATTCTCGGTTTTCTTGTTCTATTGTTGTGAGTTGATTCTTTAATTTTTTTATGTGTGTTAAAACTATCATGTCTTTTCTGGTATTCTTATATTTCTGCGCATTGTTCTTTTAACCATTGTTCTTTCGGTTTCTTAATTCTGTATTTTATTTGTTTATCCACTTTTTTGAACATCTGATTATCTTTGTTTTTATATTAACGTCTTTCTTCCATTAAATCTAAAATTTCTTCTGTCATCCATTACTTCTTTTTGTATCTGGTTGTTATTAGAATTTATTTTTTACTTTTATCTATTTCTGTCTTTATTAATAACCATTTTTTATCCTTCTGAGTATTTTGCAGAATTTGTTCTTTAACATTCATTAATCCGTTGTTGATTTCATCTGCCAGGCGTTGCCTTATGAGTGGGTTCCTTAATTTACTTGTATCGATTTTTGCATTTGTTGTTCTTTGTTTTATTATTTTCATTTTGAGCCTAATTTTGGTCACTACGGGTTCTGATCTGATTCTATGTCGGCACTTGGATAGGTTTTTGCGGATATAATTGCGTTCCTTTATCTTTGTCTAATACATAGTCTATTTGGTTTCTTACAATTCTCTCTTCTTGATCTACTGGTGACTTCCAGGTGGATAGTCTTATCTTTGGCATTTTGAACAATGTATTAGCTATAACAGAATTATTGTTTTGGCTAAATCCGATAATCCTGTCACCCCTTTCGTTTCTGTTGCCCAGACCATATCCTTCTGTACATTCTTCTACTTTTTGTTTCCCAACCTTTTCGTTAAAGTCTCCCATTATAATTGTTTAATCTTGCGTTTTAATGGATTTTAAAATGTTGTTAGGTCTTCGTAGAAAGTTTCAATATCGGTCTCTGGTTTGTCCACAGTTGGAGCATAAACTTGTAGGATATTTATTTTGGGTTTGTTCTGGTTTAATTATAAGAGTATAATTATGTTGGAGTATGGAGTGAAATTTATTACAGCTTCATCAATGTTTTTGTTTAATATTATCCCGACACCATATCTGTGTGAACCGTCATGACTTCCTGAATAATGTATTGTTTTATTGTTGATCTTTATCTTACCTGAATCGTGCCATTCGACATCGCTGATTCCTAAAATATCTATATTCAGCCTTTCCATTTTTTAACGGCATTATGTACTTTTCCAGCTTGATGTAGACTTTTAACATTCCAAGTCGCTACTTTGCAAGGTTTTCGCATGTTGGCGACCGGGGATGCCTTGCAGTCTTGTGAGTTTTCTCCTCTGCCGGATCTTGTTTTCCGAGTTTCATGATCAGTAGAGTGTTTGGTTGTATTGTTAGTCATGATGATTAACTAGGGATGCATTGCTAACATTGTTTGTAATTAAAAGTTAAAACTTGAACTATTTTCAAGAGTTATGGGACTGATATTATAGTATTGAGCAATATCATATAGTTGCAGAAAGATTTTAATATGCTAAATATTTGTTTTAGGTAGGAAAAAACGTCTTAAGAAGCTTACAGAAATACGCCAGAGTGCCTTGTGGTTATGCCGCCGTTAACGACGTCAGAACCGGTAAGAAGGAGGACAGAATGGATTCGTTCGTACTAGCCGAAACGTTTAAGTATCTCTTTTTGTTATTTGCCAACAAAGACGATCTCATTTTAAACTTGGACGAGTTTTTGTTCACGACTGAAGGACATTTGCTACCTCTCACTCTTTCCGGACGGACTATTAATGGTAAGTAGATATTTTTTATTATATTTTTTCCATCGACCATCCATTTCTGATCAATTTTAACACCCTCAAAATCATTGATTAATGACCTCTAATACTGAATGATTTTCTATTAATGAACGATTTCATTATAGGCAACAGAACATACATTGCTTGCATAAATTAAACGCTCTGCGAGTGACAGTAACCTGTGGTGTAGGCAACCAAACATACCTATTTATATTCCCACTAAAAAATTTAAAATGAAGTAGCCGCTGTTTGTTTTATGTTACCAACGTAACAATAACGATTTTTGAAGGTCTTCCAAGATAAGAAAGGAATTAGTATCTCCCAACCAGGATCAAATAGAATCTTTGACAATACAGGGCACAAAAATAACATAAATAATATTGTAAGTGTGGCAGGTGATAAACTGGATACCAGTATATCTAAATCTAATATCGTTAATAAATTGTCTATTATTTTATACAACATATGTTCTGTACGCAATAAACTGGAACTGGAAATATTTGGAGAAAATACCGGCGTTTGAGGTGGAATTATGTGTGATTCCACGTGCTTTTATTCTTCTACTTACTTATCCCGCCGTTATTCTCTGGGTTTTTGAGTGGACTGTAATATTTTGATTGTCTATGGTACGTAAAGAATACGAGTAAATTGCAACTAACTTTTATTTCTCTACGTATTATAGGTAACACAAACAGGTGGGTACAATATGTGACAATATACGTGGTTACACAAAGTTGTTAGTTTCACAATCGCGGAGACAAATTTTCTTCTTGCTAAACCCTTGAGAGAGAGAGAGAGAGACACGCTCTGAGAATCGCAAATACCAAAATCAAAAATTTTGTTATTGAAGCACCATATTTCTTCCGCGAGAGTTTCTAACAGACAGTCTTGGGACCGTCGCCGGTGTCGGGAACAGGTCATTTTTAACAGGGTTTGAGGTACCGGTCGAGTTTATTGTTGGAAGGAATATGTCGTCTGGGCATACAGGGTGGAGTAAAGTTAATGAACAAAAGGAAATACTATTTTGAAAATTACAGGGTTGTAAACACAATCAGTTTACAACCAGTATTTCTTAGCGAAAATGATTGGCCAGATCTTGTGCTTTTAACTGAGCTGATTGTATCCTCTTGAAACACTTTGTATTAACAATTACTCTATAATATCTAAAGTTTGCAGATCTGAAAGCATCCATGGAGGCACATTAATTTTAATTAACACAACGTTTCAGTATAAATTCAATTTTGTTGACTATAGTAAATTTAACCATCTCTGCATTGAATCTGAATTTGAATTCTGTATTACTTTCTTGAAAAAATTCCAAAAAATTCTTTTATTATCTTGACAGATGACTTTAATATTGATTATCTGGAGTCATCACACAGCCATGTTATTACCATTACAAATTTACTTAATAGTTTTAATATGAGAATGCTGGTTACCGATCCAAGCAGAGATAACAACATAGTGGATCATGATACTATGAACTTCTAAAGATAAACCCACGCGCACGCTCTTTTGCACGTGTGACGTCACTTGGCGACTAATATCACCAGAAATGTTCTGTTTTGCATGGAGTTTTGTCAGATTTAGTATTGTTTTATCGTTTATCTAGTACGTTGACAAATATGTGTGCACTTTTAGATAAAGTATATTTCAGAATATTAAATTAAAGATAAACTTTTATCACCAAGTGACGTCATGCGCATCGACGTACAAAATTCGATTGCGAATTGGTTTTATCTTGGAAGTCATAGTATCATGATATTGGATTATATTTGTACTAATCTACATCCAGATCTGGCTGTGTGCAGAGTGATTCCTTATTTTTCATCAGATCATGATCCTATTTTATGTGAATTTCCCCTTAAGAATCCGCCTTATACAGCCACATGGGGTAGGATTTTCAGCAAAAGTAATTTTGACAGTTTGATCAAATTATGTAATCAGGAAAATTGGAATAATATTTTTTGCTCTCCTGATTGGCTTTATTAATTTCATCACACTCTCATGAAGATTTTCAATTTAACATTTCAAAAAAGAAGTCTTAAATCGAAAAGTAAGAAAACTTGGATTACTAAAGGAATTAGAATTTCCTACAAAAACTTAAGAACGTTAAATTACATTAAAAAACATATATGCAATGATGAATTTTTGATATATTTCTATAAATATAGGTCCATGTATAGGAAGGTTACTTAATTAGCCAAATATGTATATCTTTTAAATCTAGAATGGAAAATGCCAATAATAAATAAAATGAATCTTGACGTATAGCTATTAATCTAAGAGCTAAAGTTTCCCAAACTACTGATATAGTCTTAGACCCTAGTGAGCTGAATAAATATTACTACTCGCTAGGTCCAGAACTCGCTGGAAACATTAATTCTTCTTCTTATCCAATGCATTTTTAAATGGAGTAAACATTACAAATTCCTTTTATTTTCTTCCCACTAACTCGGCTAAAATAAAAAATATTATACAAGGCGTTAAAAACCCTATGGCTGCAGGCTGGAATGATACCCCATCTAAAGTTTTATCCCTTCTTTTTGATAATGTTCTGAGAATTTTAGCGGAATCAATTAACACATCTTTTTCAACAGTTCACTTTAGCGATTGTTTAAAGTGTGCTAAGGTTATTTCTCTGTATAAAGGTGGTGACAACGATTTACCTGCTAATTATCGTCCTATCTCTTTGTTACCGTCGCTTTCAAAGGTTGTAGAAAAATTGGTAAAAATCCTAATGATGACTTTCTTACAAAAACACAATTTACTTTCTTCCTTCTAATTAGATTTCAAGTAATTAAAAAGTACGTATGATGCCATCTTCAAATTCATGGAAAAACTATACTTGGACTTAAATAACGATTATGTTGCTACCACAGTTTTCTGTGATCTATCTAAAGCCTGACTGTGTCAATCACAAAATACTTCTTAATACACTAAAAAGATATGGTTTTAGAGGCAGGATTTTGCTCTAAAGTGGTTCAGTTCATACTTGGAAGAGAGATGCCAGTCTGTATAAATCAATGAACGCAACTCTAGTAATATCTTTAGATATTTATTTGCGGATGACACCACAATTTTATGGCAAAACAAGGACTCTAATGTACTGAACAAGAGTATTAGTAGTGATCTGTTAAAAATCTTAGAGTGGTGCAAGCTAATCATTTGACATTTAATTTTTCGAAAACCAAATTAATTTATTTTAAGAATGATCTAAACAACGTTACTGGGCAATGAAGGCATTTGTTCTGACACCGTAAACAAATTTTTAACAAAATCTATATTGAAAATAAACTTAAATTTTAGCAAGACATTGTATTTTTAAGCAAAACATATCATCGGGTTACTTTGCGGTCAAATCAATTGCTCACCATTTAGATTTCAAGACTGAAAAAGGTATATATGTGGCCCTGATTGAATCTAATTTGAGATACGCTATTGCCTTTTGGGCTAGCTGTTCTCTTTATCATTTCAGTAGAAATTTTATGCTACAAAAGAGATTATGCTCTTAGATAATTATGCAAGGTCAAGTTTGGTACATTATGCAGGCCTCTGTACCGGAAACATAGTATCTTGACACTTCCTTCTATGTATATCTTTGAATTAGCATCCTTAATTTAAAAAAAAAACATAAAGAGGATATTCGGACAGTTTCCCCTTATAACACTCGTCTAAATTATGTTATTCCACTTCCAATTCCCTCTTCTACATTAATTAAGAAATCATTTATTTACACTGGTAAGAAAGTACTTAATCACCTACCACTCGATATAAGATCCTCAAGCAATACTTTTGTATTCCGAAGAGCAATCAAGAAGTTTTTATTACCTAAATGTTACTATAGTATTGAGGAATTCTTTGAGGACAGTTGTGCTAATTGATATATATTTTTTTAATTATAAAAATTTTATAATTAGTAATTTAATGTATCTTGTGCCTTGTTTGTACTATACCATGTTTTGTTTTATAAATGTAAATTCATTTTAAAAACAATAAATTTCTCTATCTCTCTCTCTCTCTCTCTCTCTCTCTCATAGAAGGTGCTCTTCTGGTATATTCTTCCACTTTTTTTATTAATGCAGCATTGGTGCTGAATAAAGTGGTATCAGCTAGGATTATAGCTTGCTACATCGCTTTAACCAGTTGTGGTGATAATTGGGTAGTCCCACCAAAAGGGGCCAAAAATAGCCCGATAATTAAAAAATCTACAACAAGAAATCTTGTGTTAGCTGACAGCATAAAGTTAAGTGGCTTACCTTGCCATGAGGTTCCAAAAAATTAATAATTTTAAAAAACAATTAGCAATGACAAGGACACCATGAATTTACACAAATATAATCATCATCCAGCCTTCATTTATTACGTCCATTATATGAATATATTGTATTTTAGGAAGCAAAACAGTAGACATGGATATAGATGGATTCGAATTCGACCGTACGTGTCCGAACACCTTACGTTTGTTTCCTGAATCCTTTAGAAAACCTCTGCAAAATATGGTGGACGGAATGTGCCCGAAGAGGTCCCAAAAAAGAAGACTCACTGCTTCAGATTTCTCCGCAGCCAACCTCAATCATTTGAAGATAATCAAAGATATGGGTATAAATATCATAGCGTTAAATGATGGAAGAGTTCAACTGTTGCATACATTTTCGGCAGTAAGTACAATGTTTAATAATACAATCCCTGCTCATATTATTAGAAACCACTTTCTTCTGTTTTTTTTTTTGTTTCATAATCATGTAAAACTATAACTATATTAGCTATATATAATATAAGAAGATTGCGTAAATGTTTTATTTAATAATCCTTATAAAGTTATATAATTAAAAAGATCCATTTGAGTTACATCACAGAATGTTTTCAGACTAAAAAGTCCATGATTAATGTATTATAACCAGATATACATGAGTCAAGCCTTAAATAACTGGGTAAAAACCCTTAAAAACATTTTTTGTGTGTTACATTATTGTTGAAAATATGTTGTAATGTTAAAGAAACTCGTGTATACCTGGAAATAATACACTGATTATGGACTTTTTAGTCCGAAAACGTTCTGTGCTGTAGCCTGAAAGGGTCTTTTTAATTATATACCTTTTATAAAAAAAAATTTAAATAAAACTTTTGTGATGCGTGGTATACAGCCAACTACAGGAATTTCATTTTCTTTGTGGATTACATAAATGATAGAATTAACCTTTTTGTATATTTATTCAACAAAAAAAAATTAATTATCACATAATTTTACTACAATACTAATGCTTTAACAAGTGAACTGACTCTCTCAGGCATGTTATTATACATCTTGCTTTTATTTCTTTTAAATGGTCATTATGATTCCAATGAAAAATGATTATCTTTATCAACTAAATCTTGTTATTACTGCTTCAGTCAATTTCCTTTTTAGGCACTCTCAGACATTTTCGATGGGGTTCATGTCTGGTGAGTTGCTGGGCCATTGTAATAGAGGAACTTCTTTTGGCGTTATCTGCATATTTCATGTGCTATCAAAAAAGTTCATTCTGAACAGTCGGAAAATCAAGTTTCAAAGCGAAAGTGAGAAGTAAAAAACTAAAGTGGGAAAAAGTCGAGTTACTGCACATATTTAACAAATTCTATAATATACGAGGTCTGACTATTAAATATCGAGACTGCTTATGAAAAAGAGTTGTAACGATAATATTTTGCCTACCACAGGGTAAGATTATGGGGGTACAAAGTTGGGGGCAGAAACTATGGGGTGGAGATAGGGCAAGTAAAATAAACGCTACTTGTGCGAACGGCACTCAGGGTTTGTTAGGAGAGCTGGGGTCGTGGATAAGTAAATGGCAAAGGGGTTGGATTGGGGCAACTACAGAAAAATGAAACAACGGGTCATGAAATCTCTTAGGACAAACAAAACAAAAAGAAACAGGAAACACCTCTAGTAATTTAAATAGGACGCACTTCGGGGTGCCTAATTATAACCATTACAACAGCTAGTTGTAACTAGGGAAATAATTATTAAAAAATCAAAACATATCTGGGCGACATTTTTGTAACGATAACTTGGGATACTATTCAAAAAAAAGGGATTAATTTAAAAAAAATAGACAAAATGTTAAGAAACAAAATTTAACATTTATTGTTGTGTCACCACAAACAGTTACAATAATAAGACAACGCAAAAAATATTACCTCAAATATACAAAATACAAAAAAACTTACATGTGTCATCTGTTTACAAACTCTGTTGCTACAAAGCTTACAAAATTGTATGGAGGTTAACCTTTTTTTAAAAAACAAAACAAATCAATATCAAAAATACTAAAACGAGCTGTCATAAATTAACATTAAATTTAAAACAACAATTAAGATGACAGCTAAAGTTAAAATCTAAAATTTACAATTTTTTAATTATTAAAAATTTAAATTGTTACGAAAGCAATTATTGTTATAAAAAAAATGTTTGTCTTTACTTTAAAATTAAACAAACACCTAAAAAGTTACCTGGATTTCACTTGATCACACATTAAGTTTCTGAAACCATAACTGGGGTTCTCTGGACACGAACACACGAACAAAATCATCTTCACTGTGAATTGGATCGACCATTTGAGGCCAAAGCCGGCACTGAACAAAACTTATGGCTCTGCCTCTTAAAAAAAAACAGGGACAGGTAGAATTGGACTACAATTAAACCTTAAATTGCCACAATTAACTGCTACTTAAATTATTTTCATAACGAAGAACAAAAGGACATTACAAATTCTTCATGAAAAGAGGCGAAAACAGAAAACTTTACAAATTCGACAAAAAATTTGGACATAACGTTGAAGACCACCGCTATTCACCGCCGTTCCAACGAAAGTGACGAAATTATCTTTAAAAATTGATCCCATAAGTTGGAATAAACAAACGATGGTTGAAACGCTAAAATAACCAAAACACAACGAAAATTAAGACGTAAATTATTAATTTGAAAACGCAGTACATCGTACGGCTTAAATCAAAGAATTGTCGACAGGAAAATACGCAGCTGCGAAATAAATAAACAACTCTAAAATGCTTTATATTAACTCGAAAGATACGAACTGAAATACACTGAAATTATTCTTCGTTACTGTAATACATACAGATTGAACGAAATAAATTCGGAACATACGAAATATTATGTATTTCGGCTCAATTCTGCTGTAGGTGGTTGGCCAACAAAAGGTTGTCAAATAATTATATTATAAAAATCCAATACTTCAGCGGACTGCTGGATTCTGAACTAATTCAAGAACTCATTCATAGGTGGTCAAACCATCTATCGCTTCCTAAAGCCGACCACTCACGGTACAGCGGTGTCGTTCGACATAATCGGACAGAGGCGTTGTTCAATTTGTTGGATATATCTGGTGCGCCCACACACCATACTGCGCCGCAGTATTTGTTCGGTTCTCGACCATGTCAAATCAAACAATCACTTTAGCATCTCTTACTTTGTGTATAACTAAGCGTAAAAAGAAACCTAAAATAAAACGTAGATTCTAGTGCAAAGAATCCAAGATTTTGGTGCAAAATAAATCTCGTCTGCCCCTGCACCCGATTTACTGGACTGCACTGCTAATTTTAATTCTCTTTTATAGGATGTTCTAAAATTGTTAATTTTTTTTCTTACATACTCTTTATTCGCATCTTTGTTTACTTCTTGGAACTTTAAAACTAGAATGTCCATTGCCTGTTTTCGGTCGTTTCTATCGTGATACGTTTTACCTTTTATTCGCTATAAGCATTCTTGTTTTTTATATAATTTAAAAAACTCTCTTAAAAAATTCTCGCTAAATCAAGCCATTTCGATTTTCTATAATATGATCAAAGCAAGTGTGTAGTTAAAAACGCAGTTGAACAACGCCGTTGTATCGTGAGTGGCCGCCTTAATGCAAGCCCCTCTTTCGTTTATCGGAGATGTAGATTTTGAGCGGTGTTGCCAATATCATTCCACTAGATGTTCTAAAATAACTACAAACCATTAAGTTTATTTTTGTTATTAGTCTGTTGTAGTAGATTGGTACACTTCCCTCGCCACACACCGTTCCATTCGTTTTTTTCATTGGTCAAAGCAATGATGGAAGTCTTCTTTTGTTAGAGCTTTTAGGAGCTCCGCCGTTTTTCGCTGCACCTCTTCCATCGAGTCGAACCGGATTCCTTTAAAGGCAGACTTGATCTTCGGAAAAAGGAAAAAGTCACTGGGTGTTAAATCAGGCGAGTACGGCGGGTGTTCGAGCACTGGAATGCCTCTAGCAGCTAAATATCGCTTCACAGACAGTGCGTTATGGGCAGGTGCGTTGTGCAAGATTAACGGCTTGTTTTTCCACAACTCGACCGTTTCTTATGAACTCACTCTCGCAGCATTGAAAAAACTTTCAAATAGTAAGTTTGGTTTACAGTTTGACCCTCTAGAACCCATTTAGTCCGCACGATGCCGTTAATGTCGAAAAAAACAATTAGCATGGCTTTAAATTCTGATTTTAACATCCTTGTTTTTTCATTCTTGGCGATGCAGGAGTTTTCGAGTGCATGAATTGTCGCTTAGTTTCAACATCGTATTTGAATATCCAGGTTTCATCGCAAGTGATGATGTTTTCCATTAATTCAGGCTCTTCATGTAATCTCTCAAGAAAATTTGAGCAGATCTGTTGACGAACTAGCTTTTGGTCAGGGGTCAAATTTTTTGGGACCAACTTGGCACAGACTTTCTTCATGTTCAATTCGTCATGTAAATTTTTTCTGACAGTTTCTTTATCGGCGTTTACAGTCTCAGCAATCACCCTAATGCTCATACGACGATCTCCGTTCACAAGTTCATTTATTTTGGTCACTGTTTGCGGAGTTGAAACAGAGACAGGTCGACCTGGACTTTGGTCATCTTCGGTGCTCTCTCGACCTTCAGAAAACCGTTTATACCATTCGAATACACGTGCACGAGATAGAGAATTCTCACCATAGGCCTCTTTCAACAAATTATAGCACTCATTCGGAGTTTTTTAATTTAACGAGAAATTTCGTCCACACTGTTATCGACACGAGAAAAAAACACGTTCTTTTCTAACCTCTACAGAAGAAATACTACTACAGCGACAAAAACGTGTCTTCGTACTGAAAGAGTAGACACTTCCAGCTATCCAATGCTGCATTATTTTCCTACTCTTTCCATCCAGGACGCCTTCTGCGCGTACAATCTCGTTATTTAATAGCCAGACCTCGTATGTATAAGTTTTCACAATTCAGTCAGAAAGTTTTACCATTTATATCTTAATTATGTAGCATGATTATTCGCTAATTCTTATGCAACCCATTCAGCAGCTCTGTATCACTGCGAAGATACTTTTAAGGCGCTTGAAATTCAAAAAACTGAGATTTCTAGAGTCTAATAATTTAAACAGGGTATTTAGAAGTATTTAAAACTACTGTATATCTAATTATGTGTATCGGTATTCGCTTGATAACAACTCCAAAGGGGATTTTATTAGTTATATGTTGTAATAATTCGACGTTTCTTCATTTTGTTAGTAACGTTTTCATTTGATAACTATTATAACGTCTATCTATCTTCATTATTATACTCACTTTCTGATTATTATAGGCTCGATCAGCAGCTGACGCCGAAGAGGGACTTTTATTTATGCAAGAGATGGTCGAACTATCCAAACTCCAATCCCAACAGCCAGAACCATCTGCTCAAGCCATCAGTATTCCCGTCTTAGGTTCCAAAGAAGACGAACAACTTATAGTCCTCCACGCTGGTCCCTCACAATTCGGCAAAAATCTCAAAGGAGACCAGCACCTTACAGCTCAGGTGGTATTAGTCAGACCGTCTCGAGGATGTGAACCGCCTCAAGAACCTAGTGCTTTAAAAGGAAAAATCGCGATCGTTGACAGAGGTGAATGTATGTTTGTGGATAAAGTTAGGGCGATGCAGAAGTACGGTGCGGTAGCGGCTGTGATTTTAGATAACGCTCCTGGCAGCAGCGCTGCCAACTCTCCAATGTTCTCGATGTCTGGTGATGGTAACGATGATGTCAAAATACCTGCAGTGTTCCTATTTACCCAAGAAGCTTCCAAACTTCTGTTAGCTGTAAGTAAAGATCCCCAAGTCGAAATTACCATAAGGGAACTGAAAGACTCAGATAACTTTTCGCAAAACGAAGAGGAAAGTATGTTTCAGAAACTGAAAATATCCGTCCAAGAATTCCTTAACAAACACACAGGTATCGCTTTTACGAAAACTGTAGAACTTGGTGGATTTCGCGCAAATATAGGAAATAACAAAGTAAGGATTACCTACGAAGGAGACCAGCAAGACTTTACTCCGGTTAAGGAGACCACCGTCAATGAACAGTGGAGTAAGATCAGAAAAGGTCTTTTAAAGTCGATTTTAACATCTGAAAATAAGGAACTTTTAGTGCCTCTTAATATTTTAAGGATCTATTATCAGACTCTTAGTGGTGTTTCCGCGCAAGATGTTTCTAAAGTAGACATCGTGAAACAAACCGAGTGGTTATTGGAAGATTTGTCCAAAGAGCTCAAGAAGAAAGACGATGACTTGGTGCAGTTGGAATCAGATCCAGAGATAACCATAATCACTGAGATGACAGAAACCGACAAGGACGCTCTAGTAAACGAAAACGAAAACAAAAGGCGGAAAGAAATCAGTTCATTTCTGGAAGAAGAAATGAGCAAAATAGACGAAGTGTTTAACAAACTTAAAATAAAAGTAAACGATGATATCATAGTTGGTGATTTAGCTAAAAGTGTTAACCAAATCAAACAAGAAAAAATTAGGAACAATAAAGTTAAAAGTAAGCATTCGATCGATGAATTATGATGAATGTAAGAATGTGCTTAGTTGCGAAATCGATTGATTGAAGCGGTATTTTAATTTGTCAAAAGTATTTTAAGGATTTTCAAAGAAAGTTCAGAGCTGAAAACTCGTTATAAATATACATTTATATATTTTACACATTTACAAAGATTTTTGCGTTTATAAAGTTTATTTATGTTTGGAGAAGTATATAGTGCGTACCCAATTAATTTATTGTTTTATTATTCTTAATATTTCTAATATTTGATGTTACTCTAGAATACGCTGGTATCTGATCGGCCTATAATGGAGCCGTATGGCAAGAGCAAGAGCTTGTGATTTAATGATACTCCTCCATAGATCTCTACCGGAATGGCGTGATGCCTAATATAGCGGTGTATTTATATTTCATCATTTGAATGGTGGGCCGCAACAATGTTGTCCTCCTCCTCTTAAGTGCCTTCTCTAAGTTTGGCGATCAATATGGCAAATTTCTTTCTGTTCTGGGCTTAATGAATTAATTAATTTCCTCTTGTGTGGGTCCAATCTCTGATGTTTCGTAGCCAAGATTTTTTCTTTCGTCATATGCCCCTTTTACCTTCAATCTTGCCGTCTAATATTACCTGGAATTGCTTAAATTCCATATGGCGCATTATGTATGACGTCTTTCTAATTTTGATAGTATGGACCAGATGAGGATGTGTGTTCATTACTCTCAATACTTCTTCATTCGTAGTTCTGCTGGTCCAGCTTATTCTTAACATTTGGAGGTACATCCACATTTCAGATGAATTTAATTTGTTGACGTCATACTGTTTTAATGTTCAGGTCTCACAGCCATACAGTAATAGAGACCACACATACCACTTTAGTGTTCTCAATCTTATTGAGACTGATAACTTGGGGTAAGAGAGCATTTTACGCATATTCATGCGTCTTCTAATTTTTGTTGAGTGGTCTAGTTGACTATTTAACTCTCTGCCCACGTATATGAAGCTTTGGGAACTCTGAAGGGTGATACCATTTATTTGGATGTTAGATGTAACTTGTTCATGGGGTTTTTTGTGGAATACCAGAATTTTTGTATTGGAAAAGTTAATGTCCAAGCCCAGCCTGTGACTTTCTTCTGATAATATTTTTATCCATATTCTTAGTTGTCTCCCGTTTCTGCTAATACTACGGAGTCATCGTCATATTTTATATTGTTAATGATGATTCCATTGACTCCGGCACCTTCAGGGCTATCTTCAAGAGAAGCTCTAAGTATATATTCGGCATATACATTAAATAATAGGGGGGACAAAATGCATCCTTGACGCATTCCTCGTTCTATATTGATGTACTCAACGCATCCTGCGTGGTTCGTGTATGTATTACTTATGATAGCTATGTCGTGTAGGTCCAATCCTACTTCTTTTAGCACCTCAATCAATTTCCCGTGTTTGATGCAGTCGAAGGCCTTTCTATAATTGACAAAGCACACATACAGCCGTTTTTGAACCTCAAGATACCTTTCTGCCATCAGTGTCAATCCAATAATTGCTTCTCTAGTGCCTGTACCCTTTCTTAAACCATATTGAGAGAACGACTCAGGTATTCTTCACACTTATTGTGAATTCGGTTATAAATTATTCGCATAAAAATCTTGAAAAAAATGGCATGACTCATTCAGGGATACAGTTCGATGGTCTTCACATTTTCTTGCGTTTTGTTTTTTAGAAAGAGGATGTTAGCCAGTCATGCGGTATTATGCCATGTTCATATAATTGCAGAGGTGTGTTAATTTTCTGACAGCATTATCACTTGGATGTTTGAAATGTTCGGCTGTTATTAGGTCTTCGCCGGGTGCCTTGTTGTTCTTTGCGTCTTTATTGCGTGCCTTCGGTGAAAATGTTCCATCGGTATCTATTTGTGGGGGCTCTTCTGTTCTCTGATCACCAAACAAATCTTTAAGATATTGCTCCCATATTTCCTTAGCTACATTTATTTTTTTCTCAATTTCCCTGTTGAGTTCTTTTTATCTTGTTAGGTTTTTGTTTTTTGCCATCCGTCTCCTCTCCATAATTTGTAATATTTCGTTTGTCATCCATGGTTTTCTATGTTTACGGTTGTCTTTCTGTATACTTTGGTCTGCCTCCTTCAAGACAGTATTTTTAATTTTCCCCCACATGTGTTCATGTTTCTGTTATTGTCTTCTGTTTAGTGGAGCTATTGTCTTAGACTATGTTGTTGCGACTACAAGATTGTGGTCTGTGTGGTCACGATTCGGTTCCTTACAATGTTTCCTTCGCAATATTGAGGAGACCTCCACGTATATAAGGTGCCCTTGGGTCATTCCCAAGAATAACATTGAATTCTTATACTGGCAAACACTCGGTCCTCATCTGCGTCAGCCACCTAAGCTATCTACTTAAATGTTGCCCGTCTTCTATCTCGAGGAGGTGCAGATTGGGGGTTTCCCTTCATGGAGATCAATACCATAAAGGCATTTCTTGATACTCTCCAGTACTTTTAGAAGACAACAATATTGCAAGCGACAGAATTGAGATTATGCAAGAGATGAAAAAAAAACATATTGACGTTATTTATGAAGTTGAACACTGAAAAAAAATCAATTTCACTTAACAAGATAAAGTTATAGATGTGTAAACAAATTATGCAGGTTTATGCAAAAAAATATCCCAGCAACAATTTTGTATATACTGGATATATAAAAGTGTTGCACCTGACTACTATGCGATGTTTTGGCATATTTAGGTTTTGAAAAAAAGTATCTAATAATAATAAACTATAATCAATTCAAAACGTTTATTAATATGTTTTATATGCTGAGTAAACAGTTTAATGCTCATTAAATTTAAGCTTAAAAATAATGTTCCATCTTATTCTAATTTTTCATAAAAATCTCGGTATTCGGGTTTCAGGTACTGGCACATATCCAGTAGGTTTTTGCGTTTTTCTTCTTTTATTTTTATAAGCCCGGTATACGCATTCGGCAACGTATCAATTTGTTAGTTGAATGCTCTGATGGCTTGTGCACCTCATTTTTTATTCACAAGTGGGAATGTTTGCCAAGGTTGCATGACGTTGTGAGAAGTTCTAACCATTATTCTTGTAGGATCATCGCTACCGAATTTGAACCAACGGTACTCAGTGATCTTACATTTGTGATCGTTCCATAAGTAGTTCTCACATGCTGAAAAGTCTGAAGTCTTTTTGCTCCATGTAGTACACATTGAAGGGCTTGATGGGAAGTGAGCTAATCACTGTCACCCAGTCGAAGGGTACATTCACCATTGCTCTTTTTTTCTTTCTCTCTATGAGCGAGAAGTCACGGTCGTAAGGTAAGTATCTGTGACCGCTAGTTAAGATGAGTAATACTATCTATGAGTAATACTTGAGTAAAATATCTATTCACAATCAGCAAACGGAACATGGACAGCATTCTCCAGTTAATATTCTTGGTTACACCAGACTATGAGTTTTTTATTTCTTCTGAGTTCAATGGGCGAAAGTTAAGTTTTATGTAACACAGGAAAGCTGAATTACCACGATTACCAATAGATTCATGCCACAACATCATAGTGGCATACTGATGTTGGTAGAACACTGAAGAGTGACTCAATGTTGGACAATACAACACTTGCTGAAGATCAGTGAAGAGTACGATGAGTTGTGGATTAGCCTTTTCAGCATCCAACTTCAATGCTTTGTATCCAGCCTCAGCACTTGCTTGGTGGAATTCACTGTCAACAAGAATAGTTGAGAGACCAAAGCGCAGATTAAAGTCTGATTGAAATATGTCAGTGTAAGTGCGCCGGAAAACATTGCATTGAGGATACTTTTCATAAAACAGTTTGTACATTTTATTCAAGTTTAATTCAGCAGGAAGACAGTTTGCGACTATAATGGTTTTCTTGATGTGGAAACGACTTTATGTGTTCTCTTATAAGTTCTGTGTCGGGTTCATTGATTTTATTTGGCTTATTATTGTATTTTCCACGTAGCGGTATATCTATTTTTATCTTCTGCTGAATGTGTTGGATTCTTCGAGGTGTTATTCCAAATGCTTGACATATAGTTTTTTGGCACACTGGTAATTTCTTCAGTCCAATCTGAATGTGGTATCGTACAGTACATTGTCGTCTGGAGATGCCTTCTGGAGTTCGTCTACGTTGTGGCTCTTAAAGTTCCATACAACTGGCCAGGTGCGCAGTTTGTGCATTATAATCCAGCCTATGAAATCTTGCGAAGAGATCTATAAACTGGCCTTGAATTTTAGCAGCCTCGCAAACAGATTTGCTCCTAAAATATAAAAATACTTATTTGAAGTTATCGAAATTATCGAAAGATACCGAATTTCAAATCATACACTCAATCTAGCACAGATCATAACAAAATATACAACATTGTTGCACTCACCTCATGTCTTCCACTGGTTAATATTGATTTTGCGGTTTTCCCCTCTATTTATGTGCAAAAGGGTAGACAGCAACACGTTAACCTCCATTTTTACAGTGATAATAGTTTGTCGGTGACATACATACAACGTTTTTGCACGAATACCAACATTGCGGTATGAAAAACTCAGGGAAGGCAAAATGTTTTTAGCCAGATTGAAAGATGCTCGCATATACAACAATATTGCATTAAAACCTCGCTTTGACCCAATCTGTAGCTTACAACATTGTTGCGGCACACCATTCATGTGTTATCTTCTTTAAATTTCTCACGTTAAAATTGGCGCTCTCTTTATATTTACTAGATTAGATTTAATTTACTAAATTTTCTTGGTATTCTTTTCGATATTTTTTATCATTTCTTTTATTTTATGGTGTTCCGTTTCTTTCTATTCCCACATCTTATATTATGGTTTATTTTACCAGCAGTATCACTTCCTAAAAGCTTTGGGAAAGTTGCACTACTTTTTCATTCGTTTAATTCTTTTTTCTAAGAATCTATAGTTTTTTGTTATTCAAAATAATGTCTAGCATTATTATGACTATCTAACTAGGTTTGGTGCAGTCAAAATGTCATAGATGTAGAAAAATTGATGATAGCTTGGGATGCAGTATTAAAAGTAACGAATATTCCAATCGATTTTAATTGCAATCCACTCCCTATGTAAAATATGTTCTACCAGTCCCGATTGAGAATAATTAGACAATGCACCAAGCTAAGCTTCAAAGATACGAGCACAGAGGAATTCTACCAGAAAAACCTTCTCA